TAAGGGAATCGAGTGCCGCGCCAGGAAGCGAATAAGGAATCCAACACCACAAGCCGGGGCGACCTGGACCCAAACGTCACTTCGTCTATACTTGACAACAGAGTCAGCTGGGATCCACAATCAGCTGGTCTCGGGTGGCAGGTGAGGGGACGGCCGTTTATCTCTCAAAATACGCGTGTTTTAAGGGTTTTTAGGAGGGTTTTTTAGGGATCACTTAAGAGGAAGAGGGTTTATGTTTGTTTGGTTTACTCTTTGCGAGTTTTGTATTTTGTTGTGTCGAGTGGATGAAACCCGAAGGCAAAGGTGTTGGGGACGTTTTTACTGTTATAATGTGGTTTTGTTTTTTATTTTTAGCTGAATGACAAGTTTGTCGTAAGTGAAAATGATATGGTAATGAATCAAGTAATTACTGAGTGAAATAGGTGCGCGTGTGACTTAGTAAGTGTGTTTTACAAGTGTAATTTTGTGCTGTCGTGTTGTGGTAGAATTATAATGATTTCTGCAGTACATTAACCTGTTGCTGTCATTCATTTTTTATTTATAATAACTAATGGCTGAATTAACTTTCACAATTTTATGAGTTGAAGAAATACTCAAAATGTTAATGGTAATTATCCAGAATAGGACCAAGTGATGCCAGAAAAGAACTACCTGTACTATTTTACTACTGGCTAAAGTTTATTGAGCATTTCTGGAGCATGAATAGGCCTATGGTATGCCTATAACTTGATCCATAGGTATACAGATAGTAATAAGCAAGCCTTATCTTTATATTCCATGATTTATTTTTATATCTTTTGAGTTGAATTTTATGTGTTCTTTATTACAATATTTTTTTTCTGAATCTCAGGGCAATCTTAGTTTGGTTGATTGTAAGCTTTGTGAAATTCAAGACACTAATAGGCCTCTTTAATTTTATTAGCATTTATTTTAAGGTAATAGCAAATATGACATTTCACGAATTTCAGCAAGTGCGTGATCCTGGGACAGTAAGGGGCTTAAGATGTTTTCCGCCCTGCGCAAGTTGACGGGCCGGGGAGCAGATGGCCCTCTTACCCCTACGTCACCTCCGGGGGGGGTGCAGGCGATGGCCGCCTCCTTACAGCGTCGATTTGCACGCGGCGTCCAGTATAACAGTATGTGTTATGAGAATATGTGTCTTAGAAGTATAATATGCTTTGTATTATAATATGAATATATTTTAATGATATAGAACAAGGTTTTTTCTATGTAACAAAATCCAGCTAAGATAAAGAAACCAGAGACAAAATAAACTGTACTAGGAATTAAGATCCATAGTTCTTCACATTTTCGTTTTAATCAGTTTTTGCCGGTATGACATGTCACACTATGGTTGACGACCCCTCATGCTGGGATGGCCTTTTTACATTACGTACAGCCGAGCCACCTCAGAGTTGCCTGCATCAAAAAAGTTATGCACTTTGGCTCTAACTTTATTTATTGAGGCAAAATTGACCCTCAAATGTAGGCTTAAAGCTAAATTTCTTTCATCCTTATTACCTAAAAAATTATTTATGCTGTAGCGAGGAGCATATGCTTCTAATGCTTCTGATTTTCCACTCATGCAGCTGACTCTGTATGCACCCTGTATGCCATACCATGTTCTCTGGCATGACACTAGGGGCTCCTGGCATGACTGGGTCCAACTTAAGATTCACTGAAAGAATGAAAGTAACTTCTTGCATTTGGAGATTTGATTTGAGCTTCAGAATCGTGGGGCACCTGTTAGTACTGCCTACAGGACCCAAAAGTCTAATGATATCTTTAATAGATGTTAATGAACAATATCTCATTACAGTGAAAATAGTTATAAGGGGAGATCGGAATGTAGGGAAGTCCTGTCTCTTCAAACGCCTTCAAGGTCAGCCGTTTTGTGAGGATTATGTGCCTACAGAGGAAATTCAGGTAATATAATTTTATTTTATTCTTGTGTTCTTATGATTTTATGTTGATTTATAAGATATTTTATTATCCAGTTAGATCCAGATTGTATGAGTCTACTTTTTCTTGGTTTTGATTGTTAGCTGTATTCATAAGTGCTTGTTAACCTTTGGTTATCGTCACTTGGAGAACTTTTAACACCTTGCCAATGGGTTATATGTATGTACATGCCATGGAATGACTGGAATCCTTTCCAGGTGGCATGTACACCCATGCCAAGCATTTCATTGCTGCTCTGAGTTATGCACATCAAGCAATTGTTAACCTGTTTAGTTGGTACTGGAGTGATGTCAGTGCTCTAGCCCCTCAAAAGTAGGCCAAAGTCACCTTTTAATCATATTCAGTGCAGCCAAATCACTAAGGGTGGAAAAATTGTACAGTGCCCATGCTTCTGATTTTTCATTTGAGTTTAGTGTGTAAAACTCCCATTTGGGTGTAGTAGCATGACCCTGCAACATGAAGTTCAGTGTAGTTTCCCAGGTTAGGTCACACTAGGTCTACAGCCATGTATGTACTCACTGGACAGCAGGCTCCCCTCGTTCCCTGTATGGTTACATAGTGCATGCATACTTAACCCATTGCCGCCGGGGAAAATGAACAAAAAATGGGGGAAATGCAGTACTCATTTTTTATATTTTTGTGAAATATTTCTGTCCATAGATGGCTCTGTTAGTCCTGATTTCACCTAAATTGGCGGGAAAAAACGTATTTTTACTAGTGCTATAAATATAGATGGTGTTATTTTTAACAGTAAATTAGGATAACGTTAAATATTTTCGTAATCGATGAAAAGGGTGAACAGGTGAGACAGGCGGTACTCGTAATTTGCTCATTGGATACTTAGTACAAGTGTAGCCATCTATGTGTGAAAACAATCGAACAAGTTCGACTCTCAGTGGGCATGGCATGTACGTACATGCCATCCCCGGCGGCAATGGGTTAAGCCACAGAATCCAGAACAGAGATCAGCATTCACAATCCTCCAGCAGAACATGACAACAGCAGCAGTACGAGGACTGCCCAGTCCTTAGCTGACTGGGGAGCCTACTGGCTCCCCCTGTTGATCTCCACTTCACCTCCAGTAAAAGTCATACCTATGGGCACTCACACCCACACAAACACTCCATAAAGAGATATAGACCAGTGCAAATAGTATATCCAATAACATCTTCTACACTGGTGACCCCGCAGTGACACGCCATGGCATTTCTCTCGCTCACTTAGCTCACTCTGGCGGGGGAGTACCTGTAGCAGCACGACCCCGCAACCTGAAGTTCAGCATAGGTTCCTAGGTTGGGTCACACCAGGTCCACAGCTCTGTCTGCCCTCATTGGACAGTGGGCTCCCCTCATTCCCTGGGCGCTTATACAGTGCACATGTACTAAAGCCGCAGAATCTGGAACCGAGATCAGCATTCCCCAATCCACCAGTGGAACTTGACAACAGCAGCAGCATCAAAAGGACTGCCCAGTTCTTAGCCAACTGGGGAGCCTACCAGCTCCCCCTTTGATCTCCACTTCAACTTCAGCACCCAAACATACCTGTGGGCACTCACACCCACACAATAACTCCATAAAGAGATATAGACCAGTCCAAGTAATAGATCCAATAACATCTTCTATAAAGGCGATGACCAGTATCATTTTTGTTTTAGCAGAAGCTGTTCTTTGGTATCATTTAGTCATTCTGATCAATGAGTAAATTTGATGTGATAAGTAGTTTTAACAGAAATCACCTGAGGCCCTGATGGAGAGGGCCCCAGATGATGTCTATCTATATCTATCTATCTATATCTATCTATCTATATCTATCTATCTATATCTATCTATCTATATCTATCTATCTATATCTATCTATCTATATCTATCTATCTATATCTATCTATCTATATCTATCTATCTATATCTATCTATCTATATCTATCTATCTATATCTATCTATCTATATCTATCTATCTATATCTATCTATATCTATCTATTTCTATCTATATCTCTCTATATCTCTCTATATCCATCTATCTGTCTATCTATCTGTCTATCTATCTCTATCTATCTATCTATCTATCTATCTATCTATCTATCTATCTATCTATCTATCTATCTATCTATCTATCTATATTTCTATATTTCTATATTTCTATATTTCTATATATCTATATATCTATATCTATATCTATATCTATATCTATATCTATATCTATATCTATATCTATATATATATATATATATATATATATATATATATATATATATATATATATATATATATATATATATATGTAAAAGCTACAGGGAGCCACTTACGCCAAATCTACATCAGATATAATTGCAGCATGATTTTTTAGATCAGATTTTTTTTACAGATGATGAGAAAGATGTTGTATAAGAGGCTGAGGTGTAGCAGGGCAAGTGTAAAGAAAGAGGGAGGATGAATGTCTAAATGAATGAGAGGAAGAAAGAAAGAAAAGGAGAAAGAGAGATAGTGAATGAATGAATGAGATATTTAGAGTAAAGAGTGAATGAATCAATGAATGAGAGAAGAAAAATAAGAATGAATGAATGAATGAAGAGAACAAAAGTGAATGAATGAATGATAGGTAAAAAAAATAATGCATGAATGAATAAAGAGAATGGAGATAAAGGCAGATAGAAAAGAGTTAACTCCATGCTGCCAGGAAAATGCTTTGCTCATTTAATTTTTTTTGTGAAATGTCTCTGCACATAGATGGCTCTGCAGGTGCTTGGCCACAAAGGAGTCAGTAGACCTTGTGACCTGACCTGATTTCATCTTTCCTGGAATATTTTTGAAAAATTAAGGAAAAGTGTAAACAGGTGAGACAGGCAGTACTCATAACTGACTTAGTACAAGTGTAGCCATCTATGTGTAGAAATAATTAATAAAGTAAACTCACAGTTTGCATGGCATATATGTACATGCCATGCCTGATGGATTTAGGTTAATTAATGAAAGATTACACTAGTAGGTTTTCTAAGAGAGGAGCTAGGGGGTTTGTGGCAAGCCTGGACTATATTCTGTG